ACCTGGAGCACGGGAAGGAGACGCTGCAGCGCGCAGGTACCAGGGGCCGCGGGGCCTCCCCGATCTCCCCTCCACTGGGGCTGGCTTCCCACCAGGAAGGGAGAATGGACTCAGTGTCAGAACACCGCCCCTCCCACGGGTGGGGAGACGGAGATCCGCCCGCGTGTTCATGTCCCTACTAGAGAGGGCCTCACCCAGAGGGCCGCTTCTCGCTAAAGGACAATCCAGTGTCTACCCGGAGGCAGGTGGAGACCGTCCCTGAAATAACCCATCAGCGGTTCCCTTTAACCCTGGCAGCCACCTTGGGAACCATGACTTTCCCTCTCAAGGCCTTGTTCTCCAATGACAACATCTTTGTAGGTCTGACCCCGGGTTTTCTGACTGATTCACCCTCCACCACAGTCAGGACCGTTAGTGTGCTCACTCACTTAGACCTGCCGCCTCCTAGCCTGGACTCTCTCCCTGAATCTAGAACTTTCCAGGGTTAGGAGATCCCAAAGGCTAGGTTGGTAACTGGGCGTTGTGCTTCTTCCATCCAAACCAATTGCTGGGCCCACCTCAGGATGGTCATGGACGTTTCAGTGGCCCATAAAGTTAAACCCAAGTGTGGATTTTCTTTTTTTTTTTTTTTTAAGATTTTATTTATTTATTCATGAGAGACAGAGGAGGAGAGAGAGAGAGAAGCAGGCTCCCAAGGAGCAGGGAGCCCGATGCAGGACTCGATCCCAGGACCCTGGGATCATGACCTGAGCTGAAAGCAGATGCTTAACCATCTGAGCCACCCAGGCACCCCCAAGTGTGGATTTTCTGATTCTTTTTCCTCAGAACCCCCCAAAACAGATGTGACGCACCACCCCATCTCTGACCAAAGAGTCACCCTGAGGTGCTGGGCCCTGGGCTTCTACCCTGCGGAGATCACTCTGACCTGGCAGCGGGATGGGGAGGACCTGACCCAGGACACAGAGCTTGTGGAGACCCGGCCTGCAGGAGATGGGACCTTCCAGAAGTGGGCCGCCGTGGTGGTGCCTTCTGGACGGGAGCAGAGATACACGTGCCATGTGCAGCATGAGGGGCTGTCCGAGCCCCTCACCTTGAGATGGCGTAAGGAGGGTTTGGGGTACAGCCTCTACTCAGGGAAAGCAGAAGGCCTTCTGGAGGATTTCAGCAGGGTCAGGACTCCTGCAGTGTTCCGGGCCCCTCACCTTCCCTTCCCTTTCCAGAACCACCACCTCAGGCCACCATCCCCATCACCTGGATCATTGCTGGTGTGGTTCTCCTTGCGGTCACTGTGGCCCTGATTGGAGCTGGGATCTGGAAGATGAAGCACTCAGGTAGGGAATGGAGTGGGGGGATCTGAGTTTTCTTGTCCCTCTGGGGGGTTTCCTAGGTCGGAGACTGTCCTGCCTTGTTACTGGGAAGTCCCATCCACACACATGGACTTGCCCACGCTGGAGCTGACCACTAACGCTCACTCTGTAGCAACACTTGTGAAAATGAAGGACACATTTTCATCTGATCTCTGGTGATGGGGACCTGGTTCCCAGCAGTCACAGGACAGAGAAAGGGCCCTGCTGAGGTCAGACCTCCAGCCAGTCAGGTGGTCCAGTGACCCCACCCCTCTATCTTCATGTTTCTTGATCGTGTCCTGGGTCTTCAGTCACAACTCTGCAAACTTCATTTAGGACCAGGACTAGGAGCTTCCTCTAGGATCTCATGGCCCAGCCCTGTTCTGGCCTCTGACGTGATATTTTCTTCCCACAGGAGGGAAAGGACCAGGCTACTCTCATGCTGCAGGTAAGTGTGGAGGGAGTGATCCCTGAGACCCTGAGGTAGTGTAGACAGAGCCCGACGGGGAGCCCGCCCACCCCGTAGCTCCTCCTTTAGTCTCCTCTCCGGTGGGCTCTGACCACGGCCTGTTTGTTCTCCCCCAGGTGATGACAGTGCCCAGGGCTCTGATGTGTCTCTCACGGCTCCTCAAGGTGAGACCCTGGAGACCCCGAGTGGGGGAGGGTTAGGGCACTAGGGACAGTGTGAGCATGGTGGGGGGGTGCTGTCCAGAATGTCCGCACTTATGTGACTGACCTAAATGGGTGCATGATTTTTTTTCACAGTGTGAGACCAGCTGCCTTGCGGGGACTGAGTGATGCAAGATGTGTTCACACCCCCACTTGGTGACATCAACAACCCCTGACTTCTCTTTCTGCAAAAGGTGTCAGATGTGTCTGTGTTCCTATGAGCATAATGTGGGGACATGAGATTTGCCCACCCTGCCCACCACGACCCCTCCCTATGCTGATTTGCATTCTCTTCTCTGATGTGCTTTCCTGTTCCAGCAGAGGCGGGGCTGGACCATCTCCATCCCTGTCTTTATTTCACGTTGGGCTGAGTACTAATGACTTATTTCCCTACGAAAATTAGAATCCAGATATAAGTTTTCTTTCCTAATTCTTGGCATGTGGGGCTGATGAGGTAATAAAAGAGAAAATTTGTAAAGTTGAGACAGCAAATAAATGAAGCCCTGAGAACCTTCCAGAACCCCTGTGTTACTGTGCTGAGTGTGTTGCAGGTGGGGGCAGGAGAAGGCTGTGAGGAGCCGAGTGGGGACAGGGCCTGTGCCCAGTTGGTGCTCAGTGCATCACGGCTGTGCCGTGCTCACCCCTCAGCTGGGTCATCTCTCTGCTC